ACTGGTCAAATCAAAACAAATATGACTGGTCTACTTTGGGAACTTGAGAGGATTAGCATCGTTTCCCAGATAGTGAAACGGGAACCTTTCATTACCATTGTTATTGCTCAGATGGTCATGAGTAACAGCCTGGTCGTTATTACCATTATTACTCGAGTCACCAAAACATTTGGCCTGATGGTTCTGCACTTGCTGTTGCTGATTCATGTTGGTCGTAGTGAGAAGCTTGTCCAGAAACGACCAGTCTCCACCGTAATTGTTGTTAGTAGTCAGCCTCAGTAGATTCTGTGAGCACTCAATGTCTGTTGTGTTGATTGACAACACAAACGGCTGGGCGGCTGCTGCTGCTGCCGCTGCGGCCGAGTCAGGGCTAAAGAGCTGAGGAAGATGCATTGACCCGTGGCTTAAAGTGTTTGAAAACTCATGTAATGGCATGTGGATCTGTCTTCCCATGTGATGATGATGATGATCCAGAGATAGTGGGATCAAAGAAGAATGATTGTTTGAATTTGATTCAGTTTGATTCTGATGATGATGGTGATCATCATGATCATTGTTGGTGTTTATGTATTGGTGATGGTGATGATCTTGATCTTGTTCTTGATGAAATCCTCTGAAATGATTCTTCTTCTTGAACACTCTGCATACTACCCACCCATCTTCCTGCAAATTACACATATAGTTAGTCCACATTATGCAAGAAATAATCTCTATATTTATAAAATGCAATATGATCTCTAAATAATATTTTCATGGAATACGAGAGATTCTTTGATATATTTATAGTACCTGGATTTCGTTTTCGTTATCATCTAGGCGATATTCATGCATGATCCACTCAGTCTTTTGGCCATGAGGAGCACGACCAGTGTAGAAGACAAGAGTCTTACGAAGTCCAATCTTCTTGGAGCTGTTGAGGTGTATGGATTTGTCTCTACCAGTAGCCTTCCAGAACCCGGCTGCAGTGGCCCGGTTCGTTCGGGTCCCAGTTGGATACTTTTTGTCCTTGTGGCTAAAGAAGTACCACTCGTTTTGAGGACCCGACCCGATTCTGCATTTCTCTACGTAGATACCAAAAAAGAAAATTTATTATTATAAAATGTCAGAAAAGACCAAGAACAATTTTGTAAGATATGTGGCTTACGACAAGGGGTTTGTTATATGTCTGCAATGTGAAAAACCATTGGCTTATTTCGAGGGTACAATACATAATTATATTACGTCAGTATTCCTAGTCATATACTACAAGACATTACACTTTGTCTTCTGTTACAGATCTAAACGACGTGAGTGAATAGACAACTTTGTCTCTTTCTTGATGTATGTATATAGACCCACACGTACAAGGCTTTGTGGATCCATAAAAACTGGAAAATAATTTATCAGAATGAGAACTGATTGAACTTTTAAGACAATATATATAAGTAGATATACATGTTTCCATGGAGACGCAGACAAAACCCTAGACAATGTTACCCAATCTATGTATTTTTCCTTTGACATCTAACTTGTAGTTTTGTGCAGAGACAACAAAATAATTCCCCGTGTTTGATATATATTCTCTCTATGGAAATAATTAGAAATTTATGATGTTAATTGTGATAGTTTAATATGTACTACTGATCAATAAACAATAATCCTTCATTAAGTGTGTGGATTAGTTGTTGATACTTGTACTTTTTAAAGATATTAAAAAGTAAAAAAAAAAAAAAGAGGTTTACCTTTAAGGTCCCAAGGTTCAAGCTTGTTGAGATCCACTTCTCTAATAACATCTAAATCAATTGGTTCATAAGAAACCTTCTTCTTGAGGTAATAATATAGAAGCTCCTCCTCGGTTGGATGAAACCGAAAACCTGGAGGCACCGAGAGCTGTCCTCCTCCGGCCACCGTTGATGACGATCCTATCTCCATTATATGTACTCTTCTTTAAGCAAAACAAATATGCTTCTCTTTCTCCTTTGCCCTAATCAATCATATATAATCAATAACACAAATTACATCAAGTAAGGAAAATTTAATGACAAAATAATGGGTACAGCCAGTCACTATCTAAAAATCTAAGAAATTATCAAGGCATGTTTTTAGATCTAAAAAGAAAAACCCTAGTTCATCATGCATGCACATTTATGTTCATAAAAAAAAATATTTTTCCACTAACAGAAGCTGGATCTCTCATACATAGGCATGCACGAAAAGAACTTGAATATCCCCAAATAAACATGAATTTGTTGAAAATCGAGCAGGTTCTCTTCTTAAACAAGAGATGTTTGAAGATAGACTTAGTCATGTTCTTGAGTACTCAAAGAGAATAAATGAAAATAGAAAGATGCTTGAAGCGAAAAGTACACACATATATATATATGAGGGTTTGTGAGTGAGTGAGTATATATATGTATATGCAAATGGTGATGGTGACAACAATGAAAGATATATGATGGAAGAGGAAAGAAAACAAACCTTGGAGGTCGGAAAGTATTGCTTCTGTTAGAGGCAAGAGGTAGAAGACAATGAAAGAGAGAAGGCAAATAAGCAAGCAAAATGGACTTCTACGAAACTGAAGATATCTTAGCTTAAAGGGCACGATGTTTAGGGTTTCTATATCTCTCTTCTTTGAGATAGAAAGAGATGAGGGAGAGACTCGGATTCTATGGATTAGTGCCACTATTATTTAATTTAATAAACCAAAGCTGGTCACAGAAATATATGAGAAATACTTTATTGTTATCGAAATTCCTATTGTAACTTTTTCCTTGTTGATTTAAAAATATCTTTAGTGTTATATATACATCAGCTAAATTAGATATTTTTTTATTGAGAATATGCCATTTCTTATAAATCTTATGTGTTATTATGTAAACAATTCAATTTTCCATTCTTACCTCTTAGTTAACTTAACTTTAACATTTTCAAATATACATATGATGTTACTAATAGTCATATTTTTCTTTAACATTATGTTTCATGTTCCAATATTTTTTTAAATAAATTGAATCAATACTGCATCTAGTCTTGCAAATATATATTCTTCAGTTTGATTTTTACTAAACGGGTTTATAAGTATACAAATATAATGTATGAAGAATGTGTGTATATGTAATATATCTAGTAGAGATACACCCTTTTGTGTGTAGCCTGAATATGAATATGCGGATTAACTGTAATCACCATGGATTACAGCTGTTCTTTATTAAGTCTGTCTAACTTGCTTTGAAAACAAGTAGTATTAATCGATTAATAAATACTCTGATATACTATAAAATACATGGTGAGTTTTAGTACTAAATATAATAGAAGATCTGGTTTATGTATCCCAAGGAAAAAACAAAACAAGAATTGAAGCTTCTATACCCTCGAATTGCAGTCAAATGTTGGGAAGAAAAATGTATCGTACCTTGAACTATGCTCCCATTAACTTTTTTTATTGCATCAATTTCAGTGCAGTTCATTGAAATTTCAGTCCTAGTAAGATTTCGTTTAACCAAGTCTTAATGCTATTTGTTTATACAATATTTAATACAACTGACATAGTCGTTAGCTCAAAATTGTTTTCTCATTACCAAATTAATTAGTTAGAGTGAAAGCTTTACTATATGATATATTGGACGTATAATATAGTGCCTTCTACTCACGTTTTAGCTATTTCTTAGCATTTTGGTACACAAGTTTCTTATATCGAAATATAAACACATATTTTCTATTGTATATTATATATACACACAAGCTTATTATGTTATACAAAAGAAGTGATCACCATTTTATTTGTCAGACCACACATAATATCAAATAACTGGTGTACAGCCGTATAAAAGAGCTTGTAAATCATCATGCATATGGTTTCCTGATATATAGTTATTTTGAATAAAGGAAATCATCCATGTTCCTAAAAAAAAGTCAACACACAAACAAACAAGCATGTAGACTTTTGGGTATATTGACAAAAAGAATAAGAAGAATTCGAATACAAAAGAGAAGATAATAGAGGAAACCGCACGTAGGAGATGAGTGGCACGTGCAGTAGAAGAAGCAAACTCCTGAAAGACCGTGGAGAGAAGCACGTGATGGTCCAACACCAAATCCACAATTCAAGGTTCCTCGTTTGACTTAACCCTCTTTGTCTTGAGATTCGCGGCAAAACTGATTATCTTCTCCTCTTCTTTTTCTTACATACGAAACATTATGGTAAAAAAAAATACAAAAGACGTAATGGTAAATTCATGAATTCCATGTAACATACACGAAACACGTAAAAACATTGGATTCTCACGGTAAATCATATATTCGTAACAATTTATGAAACTTACAAGTTTTTTTGTTGCCCAATATGAATTTATAATTAACTTATTGAGATGTGCCGTTGCCTTCACGTAGACGTCATGCATTAAACCCTTATTAATGAAGTGTTTAATCATATAGGTAGATTCCAACATGTTCTGAAACTCATATTGATATTTTATCATACCCATTATGCCCAAGTGTTGCGTATTTATTAAAACGTGATACGCTCCTATTAACTAGTAAGCATAGAGTATCAACAAATACTGTATACATATATGTGTGTTTGTTGTACTTGTTCACAATTTCGTTTCAGGTGGATTACTGGATCAGCTGGTTATATATTGTAGTTTATAATTAAAAGGAGGGAATTAATTAATAATATCACAATTACTAGTTGCAGCATAAGGTCACACAACTGTTGTTAATTATTGGTGGCTTAATTGACTCTTGACGATAAGTAACACAAAAGGGCAGATGCCAAGTTAGCGGCCAACCAAACCGGAGCGTTTCGCCGTAAGTGGACAACCACACGGCGTCGTTTATTATGATCACAAAACTACGGGTCACTGCATGGATACTAAATGGGCCTTTAAAAATTCGATAAAGCCCAACGCCGAAGAAACCCAGTTGATTTGATTTTTACACTTTACAACCGTAACAACCCCTAATAACTTTTGGACTTTTCCTCTTAGCCCTTTTACTTCCTTAATCGACATTAAACCCAACTTTCCGACAATGATTGGTTTCATTACAGGTTGCAAGCAATAATTTAAAAGTTTCACCTCTCCGTTGCGTGATAATTTTCTTTTTTCGACGACGGCTCGTGGTGATTCCTCGCCTGCAAAGTCAGCACCACGATTTGTCTCTGAAAATCAGTAAAAGGGGTTTGATATAGCAGTATAAGAGGGGTAAGCTTTTCGATTCGATTCATCCATGTAATTTAGGTCAATTCCGTCGGCTGCGTTGATTTGGGGTTATTAAAAATCTTCCCGATCATCCCCTGTTTATGAAATTTCTGGATCATGGGTTTCGCTCATTTTTGTCCACGTGTCTGATTCCTTGCTCAATTTCTTTTACGCAACAGTAAAAGGTTGTCTTTTTTTTTCCCTTCTGGAGTTTGGAGGTTTTGCGTTTAATTCTCGAAAAAGTTTATAGATTTTTGAAACGCCTTGTTGTGAAAATCTCTTTTTATTACACGTTTTTTTTTTCGAACAATATTTCACGGTTTTATGTTATGGTAATACTGTTGGAGTTTCCTGTTAATGTAAGAGATGTCCCTTGTTTCATAAGATTGTCGTTTTTAATAGAAGCTAGCTTTAATTGTTTCTTTTCATGATACTACTGAGTTAAATTGTGGTTCTCTTAATACGATTAATATTTGCTATAGTTTTAATTGGGTAGGAACTTGTTTGTTTGTTTGTAATTGTAGGTCAATGGGGTCTTCTTCAGATGCATGGATGAGAGAGTACAACGAGGCTTTAAAGCTCTCTGAGGATATTAATGGCATGATGTCTGAAAGAAACTCGTCTGGTGTAACCGGACCTGATGCTCAGCGTCGTGCTTCAGCTATACGGAGAAAGATCACTATTTTGGGGACTCGATTAGATAGTCTTCAAGCCCTTCTTGTTAAAGTTCCTGGGAAGCAGCATGTGTAAGCTGTTTAAGTTAGACTACATTTTAGTTTTATGTTGGGTCTCTTAACTTAAATGTTAATACACAGGTCAGAGAAAGAGATGAATCGTCGCAAGGATATGGTTGGGAACTTGAGATCTAAGGCGAACCAGGTGGCGTCTGCTTTGAACATGTCGAACTTTGCAAACAGAGACAGCTTGCTTGGGCCTGAAACAAAGCCTGATGATGCAATGAACAGAGTCTCTGGTATGGATAACCAAGGCATTGTTGGATTTCAACGACAAGTTATGAGAGGTAAAGCTGCCTTTAATGTCACATTTATCTTAGGACCATAGTGATCATATGTTTGGCTTCTGTATTGATTTTTCACTTTAATTGCTTTCCATGAGAGTAGAACAAGACGAAGGTCTAGAGAAGTTGGAGGAAACAGTCATGAGTACAAAACACATTGCTCTCGCTGTCAATGAGGAGCTCACTCTACAGACAAGGCTTATCGTACGTATCTGATGTTTTTCCTTACTGGATTATCTTGTTTAAAATAATAATTTTGGCTTTTCTCTGCATACAGGAAGACTTGGACTACCATGTGGATGTTACCGACTCTCGCTTACGGGTAAACTATATTCACTGAGCTTCACTAATGCTGATCTTTCTGTAGTTGTTCCATTTGATTACGAAAGCACTTGAAGGTTGGCATGTGGAATTAAATCACAAGTCCATTGTTAAAATTTAAACCACACACACACTGGTCTATTACGTCCAAGAACTTGTCTTGTAGTTGCTTTCGTAATCTTAAAAACACTTAATCACTTAAATGTCCAGTAGTAACCTTTTTGAATAAGATTGGTTCATTTAAATTTTGATGTGAGCTGATTGGTGTTTTTTGGTTAAATGATATATCAGAGAGTGCAGAAGAGCCTTGCGGTGATGAACAAGAATATGAAAGGAGGTTGCTCGTGCATGTCAATGCTATTGTCAGTGCTTGGAATCGTTGGTCTTGCTTTAGTGATTTGGCTGCTGGTTAAGTACCTGTAATGCCCCAATATGATGAATGAATTGATATATAAGTAACGAAAGTGTGTATCTTGTTCTTTCAGCCTAGGCTGAATGGTTGTTATTATATTTGTATGTTTTTATTTAAAGATATGGTTTATCTCTCTTCTGGTGTGAGACACAACTGCATGCAACAACCCTTTATAAATCTGTATTGCCCTTTTGATTTTCTTGATGTCATATTACATTAATAACTAAATAACAGTCAACAAAGAGAAAGGAAAGTCAAAACCATGAAAACGAGGTTGCTTGCTTGACATGGACTAAAGCTTGGACGATAAGAGGAAGATTAAACAAGTGGTCGGACTAGCAAATGTAATGTGCTTTTCGGGTGATGGGGTAAAAGTGTTGGAGTTTGAGAGCTTCTCCGAGATTCACAGATTTGATGTAGCCGTCTTGTTCAAACACAAAAGCCATGTGTTGTTGAGGAGCAGTATATCCGTCTAAGTTCAAACACCACAGCAACTTTGTTGTCCTCATCAACAAAGAAGCTCCCACCAAAAAGCCAGTCAAGCTTAAAATTTAAACCAGTGAATAATTTCCCCCCTGTTTCCACTAGCAAAAACTTGCTCCAGGACACATAGTTGGGAGCAACAGTAAGGGTAACCCAAATCTAAAAGAAAGTCAGACATATGATTGCCAAATAGGACCACAAGCTGCTCATCATCATCATCATCCTTCCGACAGCTGAAAATGTTAGGGTTTTCCTATTGCCTTGATGGTGTTGTATATGTGATAATCGATACTTGTTTTGCAAGGGTGTTATTAATTAAAGGCCCACATAAAAGCCTAATAGATAAATGAAGCCCAACTAACTAGTAACTTGTATTTCATGATGTGATGGAGCTGCTCTCCAGTCTCCACTGTTTGTAGTAGAAATTCAAATTTCAATTTATTAGTATTATTATTATCATTGATCTGACACATCCATTAAGGAAATATCTTTAATAATAGAAGAAGAGAAGAAGGTGACAGCCCAACGGTCTCTCTCTCAAAAGGAAGAACCCTAAGGAGGAAAGGATGGTGGAATCGGAGTATGAGCAGATACGATTGAAAAGGTTGGAAGAGAATAAGAAGAGGATGATTGAGCTTAATCTCAACAAGCTCTCTCAATCTCTTCGCCTCACCTCTTCATCTCCCAAGCCTTCTCCTGTATATCTATATCCTAACCTCTCTTTTTTTTTTTTTTTTCTTTCTTTCTATATTTTGCTCTGAAATTAATATTTTTTTTAAAAAAAATTGCAGGCGAAGGCAAGGACGCTGCTGGTTACTGTAGAATCGTCGGAGGTCAGGAGATCAAGCCGTGCTAAGAATCCTCCTCCCAGCTACAGAGAGGTCTTTTTGCTCTACCTATTTTATCTTTTTCTTACATTTCAAGTTTTTAGGGTAAGACAAAATCAGAATGTTTTTATCACTCTTGTGTGAATGAATATATAATTATTTAATGAGTGAGTTTGTTTTGAGACTAATCAGATCTTGTTATTAGCTTTTGATGATACTATGAAAATCTTGAATTAATACATTCTTAATCTCAGAGTTATATTTTATCCTTATTTTGCAGTTTGGGCCAGATCTCCTGGAAAGGCCAAGAAGGTTGAACTGTCTCCACTTCAAACTCATAACTTACTCATAACAATTCATTGTCATCTATTAGTTTCTTAATTTGTGTGTGCTGTTAATTGTGTTGTGCTTTGAAGGAGCTATCAAAGACGAGATTTGCTGAACCGGGTCTATGCCTCAGACGATGCTAGAGTCTATGCTATCGAGAGAGCAGAGGCGCTTCAGTCAAGTTTAGAACCAGAGTTCCCAAGCTTTATTAAACCAATGCTCCAGTCACACGTTACTGGAGGGTTTTGGCTGGTATGTATGTGTGACTCTATAGAAACTCGAATGCTATAGCATGTCTGAATCATTAACCTTAGTAAGTAGAATTAAGTAAACTACCAATATTTACATATTTTTTGTGTTCCTGCTTTTCGGAAACAGGGCTTGCCGCGTCATTTTTGTAAAACACAAATGCCACAGTACGATGAGATGATTACTCTAGTTGATGAAAACGATGATGAGTCTGAGACCAAATACCTTGCTGACAAGAATGGGCTTAGCGCAGGCTGGAGAGGTTTCGCTATTGACCATCAGCTTGTCGATGGAGATGCTGTTGTCTTTCACCTTATCAACCCAACAACCTTTAAGGTAAAAAGATAATTCACTTGGAATTCTTGACTTGTTTAATTTTTATTTTTAGAGAGTTGCATGATGCAAATAAGACTGTTGAAATTTGTTGCTTGTTCAGGTGTATATCATTAGGGTGAATGATGAATCAGACAACTGTTCAGGTGGGAGTAATGACAAAGAGCTTGTTATTAAATCAATCAAGAATCAAGAGGAGAAGGTTTCAGAAGCTCCTCCGTTGTCAAACAGTGGTAAAAGGAAACGAAGAGGTAATAATATTGTCATAAATCTCTCTCTTGTTAATCTCAAATAATAACTATAATTCTTATGTTCAAAGTTGTCGATTGATGGGTGCAGGCAGGAAGTAGAGTTTGAAAGCTTGGAGTAGGAGGACTTCAATGGATGGGATCCAGTAGTTTGAGTAACCTAATTAAAACATTTTTTGTGTGTTGTTTCTCTGATGAGGTGTGTAGTTTATGTGATGGGAGACGTATTGTTAAGCTAATATTTTGGTAGCTACGTTGATTTTATATGAAAATCGAACTTATGTAGCGCTACTCTTGAGCTCTTGCATTTTAATTGTGTTTTGCTTCTCTTTTGTCGTAATTGGTTGCACACAGTTACACTTCATTTTACTACATTGGAGGCTGTAGTCACAAGCGACATATACTTCTGGGTGTTTACAAGTATTATCAGCCATGGCCATTAAAGTTTGTTTTCCTCTTTGTATGAATGTAATTAGCCATAACAATATCCACCAAGGTTCAGAACGAGAACACAGTACAGTAATGTGACTACTACTATTAGTCTCGGACGGTGACGACCCATTTTGTTTCTATGTACACGAACCGCTGCTTTACTATGTCTCTCCCTGTCAATGTGAGCAACTAGCTTTTTTCGTCTCAGAAATTTAGCCCCCGGTTATTAAAGCTCCCTCTTCTAGTAAAAGGAATTCGTTCTTCTGCACACAATAGACAACATCATGGTAATTTATATAAAGCGTACAGTAGTGTGGACAAAGATATTTATCATCTCTTAATATGTTGTTACCATGATGTTGTTGATCATTGTTAATATCGTCTTCTTCATCATAATCTCCGTTATTACTTGTGAAGAACGGTGTTAGATAGTTCCTGTCTAGTTCTGAAAATGACTTAGCGCTGCACAAACAAAACAAAACAAACGAATGTTTCTTTTGTTTCTAGTTATTTGATACAAACTTGAAAGCGGGAAGAAATTTTTCAAGTGTAGGTTAATCAATAATTTACCTCCTATGGAAGTCTCTTAGTTTTGTCTTGAATCCACTTCCTGATGGTGAATCTTCATCATCAAACCTAGTCATATAACGATTGTTCACCACTTCAAAGCCCTGAGAAAGCATAAAAGATAGGGTGTTTAACTATGTCGTTTTTCTGCATTGAGAGACCAAGATTAAATAGGAGGTCTTTAAAACAAGACATCAGCAACTATATATCACTTTCACTCGACTTACATCACCAAGGGATGTATCACGGCTATCGCCTACAACCTCTAGGGCTTCAAGCATTGTACCAGTGGATCCTCCAATCAGCAACACCTGATCAAGGATCACATAAAAGCAGCAGAAACCCTTTGATCGGGACACTCAATTTAAAGCAAATTGATAGTTTTTAAAGAAGGATGGCTTACCGTTACAACAACAATGGCTGTAGTTGCTGTGAAGATAGTTTGACCATGTCCTTCTGGGAGTTCGTGAACAGATTGCAGAGCAAGAGCAAAAGCCATAGCCCCTCGAAGTCCTATGCAATCCACATTTCTTGCTTACTTTTTGCTGAAGTATTGAAACCAATATATCCACATTCGGAAACAGAGAGCAGTATCTTACCACTGTACCATAGTGCTTTTTGATGCGTCATAGGTATTTTCCTATGTGCTGGTCGTGCTAAGTTGACCAGATATCCACAACCAAACACATTAGCTGCCCTGAGTAAGAACACCGAAAAGGAGAAAACACTATCAGACACGAAAAACAACACAAAATTTGCAATTTGGATATGAATGCATGTATTTATACACACAAACATGATGTGAAAAGATCATGAAGTGAAACAAAAAGGGTACCTCGCAATTACGATGAACAGCTGAGGTTCGTCACGAACAATAAAAAGAAAGTTAAGGGACCAACAGCAACTTATACAAATTGAATATTGAACCAAAAGAACTTGCGTAAAAGGATACAATCGAGAAAAAGATGAATCCCACGTGCGACCAACTGTGCTTTTCCATGGCAATATCAAAACCCATGTAGATGAACCTGCAGATATGATCATTTGGAAACATAACTTTAGGCCATTGACAGATATCAACCATCAAAATGGTTGACAGTGTACGAATCAAATGCATACACAAATGTCTCTGCCAGGGAAGATATCAGATGAAAAAATGCAGACACAAATCGCTGAGAATTTGCAGACAAGTTTGAGAAGGTATAATGCTTCATGACCTGAAAGACACAGGCAGTTTTCATTGTGATATTATACTTTTGGCTGAGGAATCATATACACAAACTCATATAAATAGAATGACAACTTACAATCCCAGTAAATAGAATCGATACGATGCCAGACAAACTGAGACCTTCAGCAAGCATGTATCTACACAATGAAAACAAAGTTAATAAACTGTATAATTTATATGAGCGTGAACCAAAGAAGACAGATGCAGCTAATTATATATGGGAGAAAAATTGCAGCATTACTTACGAGAAATATGGAAAAAGCACAAAGAGGCAGCACTCCAGGTTCTGCAGACTGAAAGAAGCGAGAAAATCAGAACAATATATTTCAATACTGACCATTTAAAAAGTTTCAGACATATAGCTATGGTCACTCACTTGTCAACATCCAGCCCTGCATACTTGAAGAGGTGCTTTGCATTAAGGCTAACAACTCGTTTATGAGTATGAAGTTAAGTAAAAATGTTTCAGAAGAAACTAAAACCAAAAAAAAGGATATGAGAGCAGAAGTAAATCCAACTCCAACCCCTGCAGAAGCACACAATAGTCTCTTTTATAACCCTTAAAGCAAAGATATCGGAATATATAATGACACTGGAAATGTTGAGATGCCTGAGAGGTAAAATTTAGTTTGATATTTATATGTTATTTTTCTTAGGTTGCTAAAAATTGTTGATAACTTCAAGAGATTTAGCAAAATCAAGCGCTACCATATGCCATTTCAAGTCAGAAAGAGCCAAAACATAAATGAATAATATAGACAAAAAAGAGAGGAAGCAGATAACAAAAGCAAACCTGCAGACATTGAACCGACAAAGGTTTCAAGAAACCTGACTATCACCATAAAGAAATTCTGACCAGTTGAGTGACTTCTTACCAAGGACATTGTCCTGCACCCCAGTTCAAATCGTTGTTAAAAATCTTACCAGTTGATTATCGTCTTTCACAGCATATTTGAAATTAGCTAACATACCTGTACAGAGATATGGCCATCTGCCAAAAGCAACAGAAGAAAAAAGAGGAAGCCTGATAAGTAATGTGACATTTTTATCCTAGTATAAGGAATCAGAAATTACTACTCAAAAGCTACTAACAGCATCATTTAAGACTGATTCTCCAAACACCAGGGCATACAGATTTACATCAGATCCAAGTTCCTGCAAGACAACACAGTAGAAAGATGTGATAGATATATCTACTGTTCAGAAAATTGAGAATCTCATGGAAACAGGGAAACGGAAAGTACCTGAAATATAGACAAGACAGTGACAGGATCAGTGGCAGAGATAAGAGAGCCAAACATGAGACACTCAACGAATGGAAGTCTGTACATGAGAAACATCACGCCGCCAAGGTACCTTTCAATAGAAAAAGAGCTTAGAAGGGGACCTTTACAGTCAAAAAACAGAAGACATTCACATGACATAGATACATACACTAACACGCCAGTAACAATGGAAGCCACAAAAGTTCCAAGTACAGAAAAAGTGACAATGGCTCCAAAGTTTGAAAAGAAAGGTTTCTGCATTAAAAACCACCAACAAAGTACGCATAATCAACAAAAAAAAAACGAAATATATAGACACTAGAGCTATCTGCACTTACGGGTTGTAGACTGAATCCTGACTGGGTGCAAACAAGTACGTCAAGGTAAACAATATACATACTTCGTTGCCGAGTTGATAATCATGAAGCAAAAAATATGTCACAAAGAATACAATATATGATGCAAACTCAAATAAAGGATATAATATAATGGGAGGCAGCAGAAACAGAAAGAAGAACTCATCATGGAAATTGAACCACGTCCTGAAACAAAATGACAATATATTAGCATCGTCCTATAAATTATACACATATTAAGAACTTGAACGAACCTTATGCTAGTTTCCGTGTTCGATACGTTTGCTAAACCACCAACGATCAACCCTAATATTCAAACAAATTTTGACAAGGAATCAATCATAACTTTCGATCGCAATGCAATTGAGTGAGGAAAGCGAGAAACAAACCAATGAGAAGGGAAGCACTAGCTTCGGGAAGATAATAGAACTTATGACGGCGAAGGACGTGACCGAGTACGAAAGAGAGGACAAGCATCATGATCTGAAGCAAAATCCCTACTCCTGCGGCTTGCTGCTGCTTCTCTTGCCCCTGCGGGTCCTGAATCGCCGGCGAAATCTGCAGCTCCGTCGACGACATTACGCCTCTGTAGAATTTGAAAAATCTATCAGTGTTGTTGTTTCCTCTTCTTCCTCAGATTCATGAAACTGAGAGTTAAATGAAAACTCGTTTCATCCTTTGTGAAGACGCATCTTTCCTTTTATAGGAATCCGCGTCCCCTACTTAACTTTTCAGGTGGATTTCTGTTTTGGGCTTTAATGGGCCTATAAGCTTCCAAACCCAATAGAAATCATTAGGTCTGATTGCTATATAATAGCTCTTGGTACTGTTTTCTTTATTCTCAAATAATAACTTACTAGGCGATAATCCACGTATATGCGCACGATGAAATTTATATAATAGTAATGATTGAATATTAATTTTGATCGTTCAACCATCATGTCATAACTTTGACCGTCAAAAAAGGTTGATAAGTAGGGTAAACTTTTGTTTGTGTGTGTAACAACAGGCTAAAGAAATCCCTTATGTTTAATCATAATGTAAACTTTTTGTATTGTATTATTTTATTGTATGTCCCAAGATGATCCCGGAAATATTGTATAAACGAATCTTTGTAATTCTTTCCTCAGCTGTAAGGTCTCTGCCATAAGTTTCAACCCAAACTCAGGCAACTTAAGCACCGGCTCTAACTTGAATGTGATACTGAAAGGTCTTTGATAGAGTGGAACATTGATAGTCTTTGTTATTACACAATTAAACAGCATTTTGGTCTTTATCAGATTCCACATCATCACCATGTTTGGTGAGGAGCCAGAGGTTCAACATCTAACTTGGGAGATAAATCAAAGAGAGATGCTGGAGCAGTCATCTCAACGCTCCAAGAATCATTGATTTCCATCGTCTTTTCTTCTTCTTCTTCTTCTTCTTCCTCTTCAAATGTTACCTCGAGATCTTCAGGTGATGAACAGATCCTCTCAAGCTCAATTGATTTCTCATGTGTTTGAAAACTAAAAAAAATACTAAAAATTCAAAGATAAGTTGTTTACAACCAAACCATACAATCATAACAACCAAACAAAATTCATAAAATTAACTATATAACAATACTTTTAATTGAAGTTTGCGTGTAATGTCACACCTCTAAAGTATATATTGTTTATAACATATTGTATAACTCCGCAGACGCTAACCCTGATGAAGCTAATATACTTGGGAGCAACCAGATGTATTAGGTTCTTTTTTACAATAATAATCACTGGACAATAACGAGGTAAGTTTTTGAAAGTAATAATCATTGGACAGTGTCACTTGATGATTGATTTTGCTGTTGAGAGTTGTATAGTCATTATAGTTTTATGATACTCCTCTAAGTGAATTTTTTTCTTCTTTTTTTGTGCACTTTTTTGTGCAATTTTTTTCTTTTAGTATTGAAGGACTTCTTGTGGTTTTGTGATCTACTTGTTTTAATGATTATTTCACTCTCACTCGCTCCTCTTATGTTCTACTTTTGGTTTTGGTGATTTGCTTGTTTTAACGATTCTCTTACTCTCACTCGCTCCTCTCTAGTGCATATATGTTCTACTTAGTGTATCTTAGTGTCGTGTGTCAACAACATGAAATTGCTTGTTGCAGCTGTCTTTGTTTTTAGAGATTGAAGGTCATCTCATTGCTGTCCTGTTTATGGTGGATAAAGACGGAAACTTGGATGAATTTGGACGAACAGAAGTCACGTTGGCTCCAAACTGGATTGAGAAAATTATTGTCCCTTTCCAGTTTGAAGCTCTTCAGCTATTAGTGTAAGCTAGCTAATCAATTATTATTTTTTAGTGAAATGTTTGATGACCGTAAACTTATATGAATTGTTGTTCTCTCTTTTGCAGTTTTCGCTTGTTTTATGTCAGTGACATATCCCGAAATATACCGGTGGAGGCACTAACTCTATGGAAGCTAACCTACTTGGGAGAAGCCACATGTTTCTTATCTGAGATTATGACAAAACCTTGTCAGTCGGTGACATTACAACTACTGGATAAGTTTACAAACGTAGGTACACTGAGAGTTCAAGCTGAAGAAACGGTTGTTTCTAAGACCGTCGCTTAGATGACACTTGGCTCTGAGAATTTGGATCATAAGAGTATAAGTGCATGCAACTTGTCTTGTTATATAAAATTTTATCTAAAATTGTCTTTTAATTTTTCTTTTTCTTGGAATATTATCTAAGGATTTCAAGACTGGTTCGTGATAACACGACTATAGCAGTCCCAGTAGCTGTGACTAAGGGAGTGAAGAACAACTCCAACCCCATTTGGGAGCCCATATGCTTGACTTTGCAGCATTTTGAAAGAAAAGTAAGCCATTTTATTATGAGTGTCTGTCAAATCACATTTTCTTCTGTTAATTTGTTTATTATTTTGTATGTGCAGGAAACTCCATTGCTTCTAGAATGCATGGATTTCACGACCAGTGAGCGTATTGGGTAATTAACTAAACGTTAACCTTCTACATAATCCTCCTATAAACTCTGTTTTTGTTACTTACCATTGTACTAATCTGATCTTCACAGGATGACAGTGAAATCTGTAGCTCAATTAGAGTCTTTTCCACCAACAAGAGGCTGCAGTGTTTGTGTATGGCGATTACCGAGTTGCAACTTATTTGCACCATGAATCTCCACTGAAGGGATTAAACTCATTTCAACAGGTACAATTTTCTGCTTTAGTGAGATATTTAGTTACTGTTTCTTACGTCCATAAACATAAACATTGTTTGTTCTTTTCTAGGCTATCATGGGAGTTGGAGAGATCCTCCAGTTTTATGATTCTACTGAGACTTTTTTTCTTGCTTGGGGTTTTGGAGTAGAGAAGAGGATGGTAACGAGTAACACTATTTTGAACTGCCTAGAAACGATGAGACAAGTAATTCCAACCGATCAGACTCAACAACATGATCAAATTTTTCTAATTGATCATGTTTCATTGTGAGGGTTTTGGACTCGAAGGAATCATGTCAACCCTTATATGCGACTGAACACTGGTGTAGCCCGGATACCACTCATTACAATCAATGTTGTGACAATTATCAATGTGCCACAATCCTTCAATCTCGAAGGAAATAGATTAAAATAGTCTATCCGAGAGAATTGCCCAAAATTTTCACATGTATTATTACCACAAAATTTGGAAGACACATATACAAAACTGGATTTAATCAGCAATTGCCACTATCATATTATTTCTAATCTTCTTTATCTAACTACACATGTGTTTATCCTAATACAAACATTTACAACACAACATAAAATACTATTAGTCTAAACCTTGTTGTCTTGTAGTGAAATTATACATGTAGGATGAACAATCTCACATGTCTGAAAGATTAAACTGGAAGGAAACAAACAAAACTACATGAAGAAAAAAACAAAACATTGATATGTCACAAAGAACATGGTGTTTGTGTCGGTTTCAACTTAAAGAAGCAAACAAGTATAAAAAAACAACAAAGAAGGTCACAACCATTTTCTCCAACTACTTGATCTAAGCTCACCAGACAAGAACCTTGGAATGCTCAATAAACTATTAACCCTTGTCAACCCTTCCAAAGCAGACCACTCTTCATCATCTTGTGCAACTGATATGCATTCAGCAAGTGTCATTGTCATCATCTTCGACTCAGTCCCACAACTCTTAGGGACACTTTCCTCTTTAACCGGGACAATCTCATCCTCTTCCTCATCCTTGTTACTGATACTGACACGCTCTACAGACTCTTCTTTATGTGAATTCTTTACTACGCTGCTTGCAACTTCCATGGCATCTTGTAGAAAGAGGCAGACTACAGTACAGTCGTCGTTCTTGGAAGTTGGATACTTGATTCTCCATGATCTAACCGCTGTGTCCACTACAGCTCTAGCTGCCGTGCTTCGACTAGGAGCTGAAGCAACAATGTCCACAGCTTCTTTGTTTGACAACACATCCCATACCCCGTCGCTAGCTAGAATAATGAACTGATCTCCTTGTGTAAGGCGACGGTAGTTAATGTCAGGAACTGAGATAAGACCGTAGTCTTTGAGACAGAAATCACCAAAAGCTCGAGCCATTGCTAAACCAGGTGAGTCACTGTTTGGTAACCAGACACGAGCTACTTCGGGCTCATCTTGCAATGCAAACACTCTACCTTTAAATTTTTGGATTCTTGCTGATTCACCTGAGAGAGTACATAGAAAGAGAACGTTACCAAAACTGTTTTCTCATTCTTCAGAGTTTTTTAAGAACACAACATACTTGGCAGATCAGGTTTTAAGTCTACGGTTAGTTGTACAGCGACCAAAGCATTGTCTTCGTCTCTTGTGGCAAGAACAGCTCTCGAGTCACCAATGTTTCCGACCACCAAGTCCTCACCCTAAAAAGAAATCATAATTGAACAATAAGAGCCATGAAATTAGAAGCAAAGATTACCAAGTACCTACCTGCTTGATCAAAGTAACTGAAGTTGATCCACTGCAGAAACAATCAATAGTAGGATGCATTTTAAGCTCTTTATCTATCTGCTGACAAGACTTGAGCAACGCGTGTTTAAGAGGCAGATACATCTCTGGAAGATGCTCACTGTTGTTCTCATTTGGTATCAACTCACACCACTGCTCATCCATTGTAGTAACACACTCGCTTCTCTCCCCTTCTTCTTCTTCTTCCTCTGTACATTTGATCTGACCCTTCTCATTCACTAGACCGTTTTGTTCCGACTCTGATGCTAATTTCAATTGGGTTGAGATTGTAAATGGCAATGTATCTCGGACTTTCTTGGCAACCATATGACCAAATGGTCCGTGTCCATCGAATACACCACAAAACACTGTATCGTCTCTCGAACAAAACTTCTGAAATTTGAAAGTAGTATCCATAAGTTATATAATTTGTTAATGTATCTCAATCTAACAATAAAAGCAGTAAACAGATATAGAAACTAGTGGTCCCTGCACAACTATGTGGAAACAAGTCAAAGACACGAAGACAACACAAGAAGAACCCAAATGGCAAAACAAAGACACCTCATTTTCAAAACTCAAAGCTCTGTGATGGTCCCAAAACATTGACATAGACAGCATCATTCCAAATTTCTCTCACTTCCTAAGCACTACCAACAAAAGAAAAACGCAACATGTTCTGTACATCCGTTTGATAAGCAACAGGACACATGTGCAAGAAATCAAGTACCATTACTCAAACATTGAACAAAACATTTCTTCACCAGAAACCGTGAAAATATCAAACTTTAGAATGAATGTGAATAGGAAACTAACCTCAAAAACGAGCATAGCGTCTTGATTGGTTCCTTTCTTTCCCTGCTGCGTATAAAGACATGCAATTTCACTTGAACCATTCGAGATCAACCGACCTGAAACCTCTTGAACCCCTTCCATTTCGTCGCCGTCCTTCAAGTCTCTCGGCCGCCGCCACCGTCCGGAGCCTAATCTATCATCCGCAGTCTCAGCGGTGGTGCTTGTTTCTCCCGGTTCCTTCCCGGTGGTCCTATCTACTGAGTAACACAAACCCATTTTGAACAATCCGAAAAAAAAACCTCCAAGCTTTAAAAAAGAAAAAACAAGTTCAAATTTGTTTTTTTCTTGAAAACAACAGTCAAAATCTACGAATTTTCCGGGAGGTTTTGTCGGCAATGATTTGTTGTGGTATTAGTCAGTCTCCTCAGCGAATAAAGAAGCCAAACGAGAAGAAGAAAACAAGTAAAGAGCTCAAAAACCGAGACTTGGAGAGAGTCTACTACTACTATACTTTAGCTTTAGCTTTTTTTGGACCTGATTTTTCGAAATTTTCTCGGGAAAACAGCTTCTTTTAACAGATCATCACATCTGTAGAAAAAAAAAACAAAAAAAAAACTCTTGTGAATTGATTTTTAGGTGATCTTTTATTTGAATACAGTGAAGCCAAATACTAAGCAGAGCCCAACGTTTACTTACTCCCACTTCAAAGTACAGAGAAACAAAATAAAAAAGGAAGAATTAAAAAATTTGTGAAATGAAGAGAAGGGAAGGAAAGAGTAAGTAATGATTCAGAGAACAACTGAGAGAGAAAGAGAGAGATGGAGACGATGATCATTGATCAGACAAAGGTCATAGTTTGGTTCCGCACGTGAGAGACCCTTTTGTTTCTCCTTTCATTTTAGATTTTTCTTTTTTTTAGTTATAATAATTGTGGGGAAATTTGGTTCTTGGCTGCATCGTACCCTCCATCACCAGAAATTCACCCAATTACGTGTTGCCACGTCAGATACTCCGGTGTCTTCTGTCTGCGCGTAATGTTTCGGATTTGATTGTTAATTAAAGACAATTTGCTGAATTGAACCTAATTCTAAAGCCAGCCAATTTGGAAAACTTTCTTTTTGTCCACAAAATTGTTAATTTTAAAGCTTTTGAGAAAACTTAAAAACTTGTGTTAATTTAGGAATTTTATACTTGTGTTAGTTACTGCATCAATTTTAAAGCTTTAGAGAAAACATGAGACAAAAAAATAAAGTTCAGCTAACTTGATTTTCAATTTCTGAATGAACTAGAATCGTTTCAGTTTTTTATACCAGAACTTTTCTCCATAAATGTATAGGCTCTATACTCCAAGGGCAAGAACATTAAAGAAAAGCAATTTATGACTGAAAATAGAATTCACGGAATGTGTGTTGTTGGCCTATGCAGACACCGACGGTCGACAAGTCTTAGCTGTCCCATTGAGATGGTGAGAGAGATGTGTATTCATTCACACTCAACCAAAACATACTTTTTTTTTTTTTGTGTGCACCAACTGATTAAATAAACTTCAAAGGTTCGATACAAAAAAGTTTAGTGCTTGCTTAGCTAAAAAGTCAACAGCGGAAACAGAGTCTCTGCTAACCCAATGAAAAGAAACAGAGGTAAAAGCCTCTTTCAAGGTTTTGATATCTGAAATGGATGAGTCCTCAAGTATTGCTGTCACCAACACCTGCGAATCAACCAAAACATACTTTACATTCGTTTCTCTGAAGGGATCTCTATCTATTTCATCATTATATTATGAAGATGCTTCTCCATAACTCCTTTGTATCAATATTTACACAAATCATTACGTAACCATGGTTATAAAGCTACTACCATGGTACGTACATATACTACATATTTCTTACCTAAATAACATAAAGTGATTGTAGGAAGTGATGTACTTATGAATCCAATTACACAACAACTGAAAAGCAAATCTTGCCTTCATTAGATGTATTATACCTTATTGAAATACTTATTGCTGATGATGGATGATACACAAACTTCTTATACTTAGCCACACATTTTTCTCAGGTTTCTTAGGAAATCA